GACACAACACATCACTCTAGATTTCAGTACAGGGATAGTATAGAAGTTACAGCTTTGTGCCATCCCTTTAATATGATATATGACACAACACGGCACTCTAGATTTCAGTACAGAGATAGTGTAGAAGCTACAGCTTTGTGCCGTCCTATTAATATAATATATGACACAACACATCACTCTAGATTTCAGTACAGAGATAGTATAGAAGTTACAGCTTTGTGCCATCCCTTTAATATGATATATGACACAACACGGCACTCTAGATTTCAGTACAGAGATAGTATAGAAGCTACAGTTTTGTGCCATCCCTTTAATATAATATACGATACAACACAGCACTCTAGATTTCAGTACAGAGATAGCATAGAAGCTACAGCTTTGTGCCGTCCCTTTAATATAATATATGACACAACACAGCACTCTAGATTTCAGTACAGAGATAGTATAGAAGTTACAGTTTTGTGCCATCCCTTTAATATAATATATGACACAACACAGCACTCTAGATTTCAATACAGAAATAACACAAAGCTACAAGTGAAACCTAAAAGTTTAAGATTTGTGCAAGGTCCTGTCCATTGGTATAGATCATGTAACGAATTAATTAGACTGTAGTCAACTTTTGGATGAGTAATTACAACCGAATTTGTAAAGTCAGTTCATGAATCACGATTGTACCCAAATCTGAAGTTTGTTTCTTTGTTGTTAAGCGCAACGCTACACAACGGGCTATCTGTACTCTACCCACCTCGGGCATTGAAACCAAATTTTCAGCAACATAAATCGTCAGATGTTATTACCGCCGAGCCGATAGGGGTGCAGAAATGTGAATTTTGTGTGACAACTACTGCATTATGTAAAAATTGAATGTTAACAAAACCTCCAACGTTTGCGGAGGCATACAAGTAGAATATGGCTGTAAAAAGTTAAATGAAGAATCAAAAGTAATTTAGCTGTATTTATGACCTTCCCTGTCATATATTTTTGGTAGTTCTTCTTTAATTTGAACTGATAGACTTTCAAGAGAGAAAACGAGCAGTCAACAGCACCCACCGCCAACTCTTGGGCTACCCATGTTTGATCAAATAGTGGAACTTGACCGTTACTCTTATTGCTAAGAGTCCAGATGGTTAGGGCGCTCGAATCGTAATCTGAGGGTCGCGGGTTAGAATCCCCGTCTCACCTTTCGGCCATGGGGGCGTTATGATGTGACGGTCAATTCCACTATTCGTTGGCAAAAGAGTAGCCCAAGAGTTGGCGGTGTATGGTGATGACTATCTGCCTTCCCTCTAGTCTTACACTGCTAAATTAGGGACGGCTAGCGCAGATAGCCCTCGCGTAGCTCTGCGCGAAATTCAAACAAACTTATTGCTAAGAGCGTTTTGACGGTAACGGGGCGTGAACCATTAACCCTCGGATTCATTCTTAACAGGTGTACCACTATGCCCCCCATCTTTACTAGTCCCACATTCCACGTGTGTTGATATAATCTCATATCTTCATTTCACAACTACACGATATAGAAATTCAAGAAATTGTAGATATGTTAAATTTCTACTTTCTGTATTTAACATAAGAAGGTTAAAAAATCTGTGCTTACTCTAAATACTTTTCTATTTCGAGAACTGTGTTTTCTATCTCGCCCTTAGCTACCCCTACACACACTTTCCCTCCCGTTTCTATGTGGGTGGAAACCTTTTTTCTTAGAATTCGGCGCCTCCAGTAAAGCTCGCCCTGTCTGTGCTGCGTGTTTCAGCGTTTGTCTTTTATAACCACACAGTGAAAACGACTCTCTGTTGTCACCTAAAGATCAAGCAAGATCAGTACGTATATTTCAATAGTTTATTCCTTTATAATACAACAGTAAATCAAAATTCGGTTACTATCATCTTTATTTTTAAAAAACACGCACACACATAACATTGCGTGACACTAGGTATTGTCGTAAACTGTTAGACTACGGTGACTATATTTTGTAAACCAGCGTTCCTCAAAGTGTGGGGTGCGCCATCTCCAGGGGGCGCGAGTGATTAGGATTGAGTCGATAATACAATAATGCAAAATTTAGCGTTTAAATATATTTTGTTTTATAATGAAAATTGATAAGTAATTACTAGCACACATTAACGTCTATACTCGTATTACATCTCGTCGCTTAACTTACTATATTAATCATTTAAAAAAGAGGGCGGCGCGCAAGAAACCATATTTATTAAAAGTTTGAGAAATGCTGTAACATAA